TTAGAGTCCTTTAAATGATCCATTCCAGGGTCACAGGTGTGCTCTGCTAGAACAAACATACATTTGTTAAATTAAGACAATATATTACAGTGTTTGACAACATCTGTTCACATCCACAGAGCCAGCGCGGCGTAGCCCGACGTCAGGGCATCATGTTCATGTCTACAGAGCTAGAGAAAACTGGGAGTAGGCACTTCTGTTTTTCTCTTTCGTTTTCTTCGGCCGAGCCTTCTGACAGCTACACCACACCGCCAACGAACACCTAACCCATCCAACATCACCACAGCAACCCGGCCTTTGGACGCAGAGTTAGAGACATTAACCAAAACAAGAACAGAAGAGATCCAACGGGTTTATTGTGAGCCTGGAGTTTGAGTCTTTTGTGCACCAACAAAACCTCTGAGCCTCAGAAAATCAGTATTCTGATCCTTTACATGCAAAAGAAATAGGATCTTACCTGCAATAAAACCACTCACTTCAACTTGTAACCTGCCAGATCAGGACGTCCACTTAAAGTAGGAAACCAGATGTTCACACACTTCATATCTATAGTGTTTCTGTACAAGAAGCCCTCATCAACACTCATGCAGCATTCCCAACTGTTTAAATCTGGACTACAGGGCAGGCTCTAGGGATGCTGGAACACCTCACAGACAGGCCAGAGAGTCTAAGCTGTACATATTCACCACCCGGCGTGATCGACAAACTGAGCTTTAGTTCTGGGAAGGTCGAGTGTGACAGGGGAATCCCAGAAGTGCAAATGTGGCATTGTTCACAGCGAGTGAGGCAAAGCCAGCTTCAAGACGCCAAAAGCAACCTTCATGTTGGGTTCTGTTCCTACTTTCTGTCCACTCGCCAACACGCGCTGTTCAGTCGGTTCTTTATGCAACACGGCTGTAACTAAAATAATGCAAGGCTGACAGGAACAGAAATTTCACAACCGGTACTAAATACTACAACAGGCTTGCCACCATCTCCCATGTTCTTTATTTTCCATCTCCGTCTTTGCTTGGTTTTTAAATGCACACACGCACCATGTCTCTGTCCTCCAGCTGCCTCATCTTTCTCCCTCCTTTGGGTGTCAGTGTGCTCGGACAGAAGGATGAACCCAGTGTACAGGGGTGAGAGGACGCCAGGTTTCCCCCTCATACGGCTCACCCCGGTGCACGGGTTGAAGGAGAAAGATGACGGAGGAGCTGTGGCTTTGTGGATGGGGAAAGCAGGCAGAGCTTGTAGAGGTCTAGTTCCCTCCGCAGCAGGCTCGGGTGGATTGAGCATCTGGGTCCTGCAGGTTGACTCCGCGATGCCGCGCTGCATGTGTTGGGTTCTGGGTGTCTGTTTTAGGCATCTTTTTAGCTGAAGAAGAGAAAAGGAAGTGTGATTAAAGAAAGACTCGTCTCCCCTCAGAGCAAACAAATGACACTCAAAGAGTCTCACCAATAGCCAAGAAGATCTCGTTCACATTCATGGCCGTCTTGGCGGATGTCTCCATGAACAGTAAACTGGTGTCCTCAGCGTATGCCTGAGCTTCCTGCATCACATGTTCATTGGAAAAAGCATGAAATGCTTCCTGGGGCTGGCAACTCTCCTATTCAAATAACCCCGCCCCCTGAGAATTCCAAACAAGCCAATCGGCACTGAGCAGCATACGTCACACACCTCGACCCTCAAAGATGGCGTCTGAAGTGGAGTTCGCTGCGGCTCTTTCCTCTGCTCTAAATGACTCGGATGTCTTTAAAACCACAACAAGAAGAAGCGCTAAAAGACTCTTTTAAAGAAAGATGTTTGCGGCTTTGCGCCACCGCCAGATGCCAAAAACTACAGTGTGGCACGGTTCAGTCGGCATTTCTGCCTTTTTTCTGATTGGTTATTTTTGAGCTGGCTAGTCCCGCCCCTCATGTGCCTCTCTGCCTGTGAGTTACCAGACTCGTCTCTGTGTAGGTGAAGATCAGCACCTCCAAATCGGAGACCATGGTTCTCAACCGGAAAAGGTGGCTTGCCAACTCCGGGTCGGGAGAGAGGTCCTACCTCAAGGGGAGGAGTTTAAGTATCTCGGGGTCTTGTTCACGAGTGAGGGTAGGAGGGATCGGGAGATCGACAGGCGGATTGGTTCGGCGTCTGCAGTGATGCGGACGCTGAGCTGATCTGTCGTGAAGAGGGAGCTGAGCCAGAAAGCCAGGCTCTCGATTTACCGGTCGATCTACGTCCCAATCCTCACCTATGGTCATGAGCTTTGGGTAATGACCGAAAGAACGAGATCGCGGATACAAGTGGCCGAAATGAGTTTCCTCCGTAGGGTGACCGGGCTCAGCCTTAGAGATAAGGTGAGAAGCTCGGACATTCGGGAGGGACTCGGAGTAGAACCGCTGCTCCTCCGGATCGAAAGGAGCCAGTTGAGGTGGTTTTGGCATCTGGTCAGGATGCCTCCTGGACGCCTCCCTGGGGAGGTGTTTCGGGCATGTCCTGCCGGCAGGAGACCCCCGGGTCGACCCAGGACACGTTGGAGAGGTTACATCTCCAATCTGGTCCGGGAACGCCTTGGGGTCCTGCTGGTGGAGCTGGTGGAGGTGGCTGGGGAGAGGACGGTCTGGAACTCCCTAGTTGGGATGCTGCCCCCCGCGACCCGGATAAGCAGAGGAAGACGACGACAACGTCTCTGTGTAGAACAGACGAGTCTGGCAGGCCAGTGCTCTTTATGCACAAATACAATTTCTCCAACTTGTCATGGAGTGGGAGGTTATTGCACAGTTTCCCTTTTACAGAGAATAATACGAGAAGAACTTCAGTACGTGGAAGAACCAGCCATAGCCGGCCTGACAGCACAGTCCTTGAGCTTTAAAAAGATGTAATCTGCAAAACAACCAAGCTAAGATCTGATGGGGTTTAGGAGTGTGTTACCTCATACTCCACAAGTCTCTTCTCAGCCAGGTCGGCTTTGTTTCCAGCCAGGGCGATAACAATGTTAGGACTAGCCTGTCTCTGCAGCTCCTTAACCCAGGCCTTGGCTCTCTCAAAGGTCTCCTGCACAAACACATCCAGAGGTCAAAGATGCCCAGTGTGAACTGTTCATACGTGTAGTATCATAACACTGTCTAGAATTGGTTTTCCCAGCATAAATTCACTAAGAATTTCATCTGTGGAAGGTAGGCATCAGTCTCAGTCTGACCCGTACCGGTTTGGTGATGTCAAACACAACGATGGCAGCCTGAGCTCCACGGTAGTACATAGGAGCCAGGCTGTGGTACCGCTCCTGGCCTGCAGTGTCCCAGATCTCAAACTTCACTGTGGTATCATCTAGACACACCGACTGAGCCAAGAACGCAGCTGGACACGTGGAAAAGAGCAGCAGGTCAACATGTTTCTATAAACTAGACAATAATCACCTGATCAAACTCTCACCTCCTATGGTCGTCTCCTGAAACTCATCAAACTGTCCCTTGACGAAGCGAAGGACCAGGCTGGACTTGCCCACGGCCATGTCTCCAAGCAGCACCAGCTTGAACTGGCAGATCTTGGTCTGCGGTAATGCGCCGTTGGAGCGGCCACCACTCCCTCTGGAGCTCATACTGACCTGTGCAGGAGACGGCTGGGGAGATGGGCCTCCTCCCTCAAATGGGGGGGGGGGGGGGGGGTGATTGGTCACTCAAGTAGCCCCCCAAAGCTGGGCTGTGTTAATGGAGACTCGACTTCTGTTGTCTCTGGTTGGAAACAAAGGAAGCTACATGATATCTGAAATGCAGTGAATAAACGCTGCGGATCCAGCTGTCCCTGTGCGGACATCACACTTCCTTTCCAACTCTTACATCTGTGCAAACTGCTTTCTTCATCTGCAGTCATGATACAGCTATAGCTTAAAAACAAAAGCACAAGTTGATTGTTCAGCTTTAGAGCTGCTTTATTTAAAGGTGATGTGAGGCAAGGTCCAAATGTTGTTAAACACAGTCCAAGGTCTGTTCTCAGAATTTAGCAGGTTTATAAACAACAACCAAAACTTTCAGCTGCCTTCAAAAAATCACATAAGAGCCGGCCCTGCAAGTCATACCTGCTCAGCCAGGTCTCTGCAGCTTTATTCGACTGCTCTTCCTAGAACTACCAATCAAACATAAACTGTACTGCAGTATTTATGTGGATGTTGTTTAATTTCTTTACTTCCAGTAGGATTAAGCCTTTCACAAACACCCAGAGAAATCAGTTTCAGTATGTGCTTGTTTTGCTTTTTAGCTTCTCTAGACTTTTTAGCCTGAAGTTCAGCAAACAGTCAGATTACAGTCACCTGTTCTCACAATGTGCAGGAATTCCAACTCTCTTATTCTTATCCAAACAACAGAAGCCGATTTCTGTGCACCTCTGGTTCGGTTCTGGACTCTGACTCTCCGATGACAACACCTCAAATCTTTTTTCCAACCATTCTGTTATAGACTTGCCTCTTTCTGTGATTGAGTCACTGTCCTGCTGCTTAACCCACATTGGTCTGAGCTTTAGTGATTTGACTTTAGTATTAAGAGGCAGTCATGGTTGACTCAGGCTAGGTTGCCAGGTTGTGTCTGTAAACAGGCCCAAATCATTAGCCCTCCACCACCTTGCTGTAAGCTGGCATGTACTAGTTTTATTCAGACTTGGTGTTGTATTAATGGACAAACATTCCCAGTTTACCCCAGTCTGTTCAGAGAATAACATTTAGAAATCTCGCAGTTTGTTTAAAGTCTAAAGAAATCTAGGCCAAACTACTGAGAACTTATTCAGGAAGAAGGACCCTGCACCTTCAGCCCTTACATGTCCTGTAACGGTATGGGCATGCTACCTGGGCTGTAAAGTCTGGATGGCTTTTCACCCCAACCAGACCTTGATCTCATCCACTCGTGAGAAGGCTGGGAAGCAATCGTTAATGACATCACTCCTCCTTACTGTTAACACACGCATGTTCCGTAGGAGTCCACCAAAGCTTGTACCGATTACCTGTGTGTCAGTAAATGCGTGTGATTAGCAGCTCCATAACCAAAACACGGAGCGAGAATCTCGGTCCGTAGGTAAAGGCTAAATGTTTAATAAAAGTCAGAAAACAGCAAAGGTCGGACATGGTCGCTTTAGATGTACCGTTGAGACGTGTGCGGGACTACGGGCCCAACACCACGGTTCCTCTGTCAATGATCGGTATCGTATCTGTCACAGAGAGCTAGCTAGTCTCCGCCGGTGGCTTTACACAAGACGACATTTAAAATTACGCTTTATGTTTCGACGCCCAGTGAAACACACCGATCTCGGACGGTTTACCGGAATAACATGCTCCCCTTAAGGGAAAAACGTGAGTTTTACCGTCCGAGGAGCTGTTCCAGCGGTAGCAGGTGTCGCAGCCTCTCTGTTGACTATCAGCTGGTTACACTTCCGGTACCGCGGCGCATGCGCTCTGAGTGCTTCATTGTCAAAACCAGGCGCAGCAAACGTCAATAATGGTTGACTTTTGGATTTTTATGTCGACGTGCGCATCATGGGGTGGAGGGATCCTCGCGTGTGTAAACTCCATCCACCCGGTTCTCAGCAAGTATGTGTTCGTTTCCAGACATTGTTTTAACACTGTTAGCTCTAATTGTTGCTCATCACCACGAACTTCAGTCTGCTGGAGAGAGAACCTGAACACTGCCGTCTGCTTTATTCTAGTAGTAAAACGCGTTTCTGTAGCTAGTGGGCAATATGAAGAAGATCAGACAAGTAGTAAAATATCAACTAATTAAAGTAAAAAAAAATAAGCCCAGTCTGCTGCTGCTCTGTTATTTCTAGACGAAATTCCTCAGGATTTCGCCTTAAAACTCGGCATATTTAGCAATATGGACATTGAGAAAGCAGATTACCTCGTCCGGTACTTACAGATGTTTATCGCGGATATTAGTTTTTTTTCCAGTTCGGAAGTTGTTTTAAGTGTTGCTATTTGTCTTAAACGTTCACAATGAGGATATATTAATCCTTTTTGCAATATTTGCGATTGAAAGATGGTTTGTGGTAAGAACTGGCTATCTTTATGTTACAGCCTTGATACTGAAAAATTAATAAACAGTGTAAAATGACGTCCTGTATTGAATGTAAAGTCAAACGTTGTATAAATGGAAATAACCATCGATTAGATTTTTTTTTCCCCTTCCTTTCTTTAGTCCACATGACATGGAGCCACAGTTAACTAGTTTGGGGCACATTTTTACTTGATTTAACTGATCAAGCTTTGGCTTTATAATGACGCTGTGTAATCAAATCAAATCAACTTTATTTATATAGCACTTTTCATACAAAAATATGCAACTCAAAGTGCTTCACAGATTAAAATGGCCCCATTGATCCCATATTCCCATCCCAGCCCCCCTCCCCAAGTATAAAACAATTGACAATTACGGTTCCCCTCCCGCACCCAACTTCCAAAGTGGACATACAATCACCCGCACACTCGTCCAAGCACGCACGCACACACACGTGAACAACAGAGGAAACAATAGGCTGAGTTCAGATGGGTCAGGTAATGAACGACACATCATCAGCGGAGCCATCTGCCCTGACAGCAACAGATCCACGGCAGCAGCCAAGACACCGGCCCATGGCGCCCCGGCCGCCGCCGCCGACCACCGGCCCCAAGGCAAAGGGCTCCGCAGAGGAAACACTGGAGGATTAAAATATATAACTGTAAAATAACAAAAGCTAATATGGATAAAAAGTAACTGATAAAAAGTGATTATAAAGATAGTAAAAGAAAACAATCATGTAAAAACACTAAGATGTAAATAAAATGATTAATTAAAAGAGATAAATATGTATGTGTGTGTATATATATATATATATATATATATATATATATATATATATATATATATATGACAGATGATGCAGTTAAACAGACTAGATAAATGTAATCAGTTACAAGCTAAGCTAAAAAGGTGGGTCTTGAGCCTATTCTTAAAAGCCTGGACGTTCCCTTCGGCCCTGAGGTCCTCCGGCAAACCGTTTCAAAGGCGAGGGCCGTAGTACTTGAAGGACGCCTCGCCATGGGTGTGAGTCTTAACTTTAGGGATAACTAGGAGACAGCTGCCAGAGGAGCGCAGAGACAGTGAGGGTTAAAAGCATTTCTGAAAGATAAGAAGGCCCAAGACCATTAAGACACTTAAAAACCATTAAAAGAACCTTAAAATCGATCCTGAAACATACGGGGAGCCAGTGCAGTGATTGTAAAACCGGAGTGATGTGCTCCCGCTTCCTGGTCTTCATCAGGACACGTGCTGCTGAGTTTTGTAAGAGTTGTAAAACTGAGATGCTCTTTTTGGGAAGACCAGAAAGCAGGGCATTGCAGTAATCAATTCTACTGGTTATAAAAGCATGCATCAACGTCTCCGTATTGGCCCGAGAGAGAATGGGGCGGACTCTGGCGATATTCTTAAGATGGTAAAAACCTATTTTTGTGATGTTTTTAATGTGGGGGATAAAAGTCAGTTCAGAGTCGAAAATAACGCCCAGATTCTTCACTTGTAGTGATGGATAAAAAGACATTGATTGTAGTTTAGGTAAAAGTTTCTCTCTCTGGGCCTCAGGACCGATAACTAAAACTTCAGTTTTGCCCTGGTTGAGCTGGAGAAAGTTTTCAGTCATCCATGATTTAATACCTAAAATGCAGTTAAAAAGTGTTTCCATTGGCTGTGCGTCATCAGGAGACACGGAGATGTACAACTGTGTATCGTCAGCGTAACTGTGGAAATTCACCCCATGTCTCCTGATGACGCTGCCCAGAGGGAGCATATAGAGTTTAAAAAGCACTGGGCCTAGAATTGAACCCTGAGGCACACCGCATGTGATGCTTTGGACTCCAGAGGAACAGGTATCCAAACTCACGATAAAAGTCCTATCTGTGAGGTAGGAAGTGAACCGCACCAGAGAGGCCGATCTGTTTTAAACGGGTTAAAAGAATAGTGTGGTCTACTGTATCAAAGGCAGCGCTTAGATCCAGCAGAACCAACACTGTTGCCCTCCGAGCATCATAATTTGTTCTACAATCATTTAAAATCTTCAGAAGGGCCGTCTCAGTGCTGTGGTTCACCCTAAAACCAGACTGAAATTTCTCTAGGACATGTTGGTGGTTGATAAAATCATTAAGTTGTATTAAAACAAGCTTCTCTAAAATTTTGCTTAAAAATGGTAAGTTGGATACCGGACGAAAATTGTTAAAGTCATTAAAATCTAAATTGCTCTTCTTCAACAGGGGTCTGACCACCGCCCGTTTAAAAGCAGCAGGAAAGACCCCCGTCTGAAGGGAACAGTTCAAAGTTTAAATCTCATTTCTAAAAGAGTCATAAAATTGTTTAAAAAACCTTGTGGGAATAGGGTCCAGAACACATGTGGTGGGCCTCACTGAGGAGAAAACTTTATCAATAATCTCAACCAAGACAAAACTGTCCAGTGTTTCCTCAGGTAGACACACACTCTCAGATTGATCGGGAGTAGCATGACATTGGGAGGATAAAATGTTACGTCTGATGGTGTCTACCTTCCCTCTGAAGTGGGCTGCACACTCCTCACACAGAGCATCCGAGGGGGTTTTCTGGAGAGAACTAAATTCACGACCCAAAATATTTGTAATTGTAGAAAACAGAATTTTGGGATTATTTTTGTGTTCAGAGATGATTTTAGAAAAGTAATTATTTCTGGAATTTCTAACTGCTTTGTTATATGATTTTAGGTTACTATCTATACATTACTTTGCTCTATTTAAAAGAAACAAGATAAAAGCACTTCAGCACATAAAATTAAGATTGTCACCTGCCAAATAGAGACTACACCCTCCTGTTTACCTATAAGAAATGCCTCAAAATATCTTTAAATTCTTTATTGATGGTTTAATTGTAGACACCAAAAATGGCATTTTACTTGCCAAAAAGTGATTGAATCGCTCAGTTTTTCATGGAGGCTAAAATTGACCAAATAAGGGTTTTATGTATTATCTGTTTATTGTACTCATACTGTCTACTGTAAGCAAGTTCCTAGTTTGTGAATTGTTTGTTCACTGACAATGGCAATAAGCCTAATGTGATTCTGATTCTGATTGTGATAAACACCCCAAAAATGGCAAAAAAATAATAATAATAATTTTCCTTGCCAATAATTGATTACAGGGTCTTGGTCACCTGCAATGTGTTAAATTAAATGGTAAATGGCCTGTATTTGATATAGTGCCTTCTAGACTCCTGGAACCCCCCAAGGCGCTTTACAACACAATCATTCACCCATTCACACACACATTCACACCCTGGTGGGGATGAGCTACGATGTAGCCACAGCTACCCTGGGGCACACTGACAGAGGCAAGGCTGCCGAGCACTCGCGCCACCGGTCCCTCCGACCACCACTAGCAGGCAACGTGGGTTATCAACTCAAATCAAATCAACTTTATTTATATAGCACTTTTCATACAAAAATATGCAACTCAAAGTGATTTACAGATTAAAATGGCCCCATAGATCCCATATTCCCATCCCAGCCCCCCTCCCCAAGTATAAAACAATTAAAAATTTCAGTTCCCCTCCCGCACCCAACTTCCAAAGTGGACATACAATCACCCGCACACTCGTCCATGCACACACACACGCACACACCCACACACACACACTCGTGAACACCAGAGGAAACAATAGGCTGAGTTCAGATGTGTCAGGTAATTGCCCAAGAACATAACGACAGCGACAGACTGAGTGGGGCTCGAACCTGCAACCTTCCGATTACGGGGCGAGAACTTAACTCCTGTGCCACCGTCACCCTCATTATTAACCTAAATATTACTTTATTTATTATCTCTTGATGTTATTAGTCACATCACAGGATGCTGGGTGTCTTCCACATAGGAAACTTTAACTGATTGGCTTAATGAACTGACCTGTATTGGAATGTTTACTGTGTGAAGTGCCTTGAGACTACTTGACGTGATTTGGCGCTATATAAGTAAACTTGTATTGAATTGAATTGGATAGAATTGAATTGAATTGGATAGAATTGAACATATTCAGCCTGAGCCTTTGGTTGGAGCAGGTCCCCATCCTGTGGAGGACCACTATAGACCAGTCGCCTTAACCTCCCATCTGATGAAGACAATGGAAAAAAATCACCCTTACCCATCTACGTTCAGTCGTGACCCCCGAAATAGACCCACTGCATTTAGCATATAAACCAAATATGGGGTGGAGGACGTGCTCATCTACCTGCAGCACCGGGCACTGACTCACCTCGAGATGCAAAAAAGCACTGTGAGAATCGTGTTCTTCAACTTAAGTGCCTTAAAAACCATCCAGCCATGTTTACTGCAGCAGACGATGAGGGGTGCAGGGGTGAACATACATCTGACTGCATGAGCCATCAACTACCTCACCAACAGGCCACAGTATGTGAGGCTGCATTACTGTACATCTGAGGTGGCTGTGTGAGGTACTGGAGCTCCACAGGGTACGGTGCTCTCTCCCTTTCTCTTCACCTTCCACACCTCAGACACCAGCAGCTGTCACCTCCAGAAGTTCTCTGACTCGGCCGTTGTTGGGTGTGTGTCTGGAGGGAATGTACATGGTCGTGAAATTAAGTTTTTTGATTATTTCACTGTGCAATTATTACATATTGTACCCTTGATATTGTCTTTACTTCTTCTTCTATTACTATTATTATTATTATTATTATTATTATTATTATTATTTCGCCTCCAGGCCACCAGAGGGCGCCCAAGACTGGCACGTTAACAACCCGGAAGTTTAAGCGCACGTAAAGGGTTTTAATTTATGTTGATTTTCCCACCAGCAGAAAAATAACGGACGTTTTTGTTCTGCTGTGTGTGATAACTCGTCTACAACATGCCAAGAACGAAGACAAAACAGCAGCATAAGAAGGGGAGCGACACGGCGGTAAGTTGTAGTTCCGTTCAGTTCAAATAAAAATCTCAGTAGAAATCTTCTACTCTTTCCTGAAGTAGAAAGTAAAGGTGTTTAAAGTTATTCAACCCGGAACCTCTTTTATTCGAGACTATGTTTACATCATCACTAATGCAAACAGCCCAGCACAGTTCAGATTAACCTAAACCAGGGGTCTAGTTTAAATAAACTACTTGCGATCACTAGTAAGTAGTTCTGATTCGTTCCCTCCTGACTGCCAGTGGCAGTAAACAGAGTGGATGTATCTCCTCGCGCTCTGCGCAGGTCGAGTACTAATGTAAACAAAGTCACGCACCTGGTCGCGAGTCTTTAAATTACGAGCCAATAGTTTCGTTCGGGTCTCCCGGGATCTTCTCGCCCGAGAAGTTCCGAGTGACCCCTGTGACTGGCAGTCATCCAGGAACTCACAGAACCATAGTTACACCGTAACTTCCGTTTTCATCTGTGTTGTTCCTGGTTTGTTGCAGGTGCAGGGAACCAACGACAGCAGTGTGGTGAGCAAGGCTTCTGCTGCAGCTCGGGGCTACTTCAGGGACGCCTTCCTCCAGCATTTTGTGTGCAGGGTGGCCAGAAGGGCGCCTCTCATCAACAGGTGATCACTGACTGTTGTGCACCACTAAATCTAAATGCTTCGGAGTTGTGAGTCCTGTCATGCACAAGCATTAAAAAAGCAGACGAGTTTCTGTTGGAATGTTTTAGGGGCTACTATGTCCGCTGGAGAGCTGTGGACCACTGTGTCAGAAGGTTCCTGCAGGTCACTGCAGGCTGCCCTAAGAGACAGGTGAGCCGAGGTCAGGCTGCACTTTGTTGTCTCTGGAGCTTCTCTAGGACTTCCTGTGTGATGTGCTGCAGATCTTGTCGCTGGGTGCTGGGTTCGACTCGCTGTATTTCCGCCTGCGTGCAGATGGAGACTTGGATAGAGCTGTCGTGTATGAGCTGGATTTTGCAGATGTGGCTCAGCGTAAAGCTGCTCTGATAGCTGCTAATGAAACTCTGGGAGGAATGTTAGATTCTTGTCTGCCTTCATCTCCAGGTTTGTCACAGCGCAGCTCAACATAAATAGCTCTTTAATATACACAAGTGGATAACTGATTGTGTCCTCAGGGCCCGTTTATGTGTCCAGCAGCATGTACCAGCTGCTAGGGGTGGACATTAGAGAGGAGGCCCAGGTAGAGGATGCTCTGAGTGCAGCCGGACTGCACTGGGCTGCCCCTACCCTGGTTCTCTCTGAAGTGGTGCTCACCTACATGGAAACAGACAGGTACAGCCGATTACAGCACTTACAGGTGAGTGAGTGGTTCAACCTTCTGTGGCTGCTCCTGCAGGTCCGACGCCACAATCAGCTGGGCAGCAAAGCTCCTGCCACAGTCCGTCTTTGTGATGTACGAGCAGATCTGTCCACACGATCCGTTCGGTCGCATCATGCAGGAACACTTCCTGAAGCTGAATTCAACTCTGCACGCCCTCCGACAGTACCCGGACACGAGAGCGCAGAGACACCGGTTCCTTACCAAGGCCAGTCAGATTTACTGTCCAGCAGTCCCCGGTTCTGTTTCATGAACGTAAAAGTCCTCCTTCGCATCAGATCTCAGCTTTTATTACGTATTTGTCATCACTTTCATAAGTAAACTGGTGCAGTCGTTTTAGATACGGTTAGGGCATGTTACTGACGCGTGTGTGTGTGTGTGTGATCTCAGGGCTGGGACTGCTGTGTGTGTCTGGACATGAATGACTTCTACTTGAGGCTAATCCCAAAGGAGGAGCGGGATCGTGTGGAGAGCTTGGAGCCGTTTGATGAGCACGAGGTGTGCCGGCCTGTGGATGCTGTGTTTTTCGTGACGTCCAGGTTTTAAGGTCGTAACGGAAAAGCAGAATAATTCTGATGTGTCCACCTTTAGGAGTGGCACGAGAAGTGTTGCCACTACTTCATCCTTACGGCATCTCGAGGCTTACTGATGGAACAGGCTCTGCTTCCTGCTCCTCCAGGTAGTAAAACCACAGCATCCGCCTCAGCCTGTCCTTTACCGCCGTGTGTCTGACCTGCTTCTCGTCTCAGTGTCCTCGGCGCCGGTCATCAGCTGGAGTCCCACAGTGCTGCCGGTACGCCCTATTCCCGTGAGTTTAGAGGGGTTGGGGATGGCTTCCACTCGGCTGGGACCTGAACAGGTGATGCTAACTGGAGGCTCCAGCAAAGGAGGCCGGCTGGCAGAGACCAGAGCGCTCCTCAGAGGTCAGGAGGGCTGGAGGGCTGTCGTGGAACCATTCGTCGATCTGGGTCAGATAATTTCCTCCACGTCAAATGGAAGTGTTAGAAGATTTACTGGTAAAGAATCAAGTGTTTCCTTTATCAATGGCAGGCGTGCGACTCCATCACACAGTCACCTGTGTTCCAGGAGGAGGAGTGGTGATATACGGAGGTCGCTCCTCACCACTCAACCCCATCAGGGACATTTTCAGAGTGACCTTTAACCCCGGTGGTGTGTCTCCAGCTGCAGACCCACAGAGCCAAGCAGCAGAAACGATTCATGTGGAGTCGATGATCTGCTCAGGAGATCCGCCTCCACCAAGATGGAGGCACACTGCCTCTGTGGTCAGTCTCAGAGGTGACGAGCAACACCAGCGGTGTTAGCGCTGAAATGATTTATTCTATCTTTACCATCTTTTCTTTTTCCAGTATTCAGTAAATCTGTTTCTGTTCCTGCCTGTAGGCCGAGACTTCCTGTTTGTGTTTGGTGGAAAGAACCAATCAGAATCTGCTCTGGGTGACGGTCACTTCCTGAATCTGGGCCAGCAGATCTGGACTGAGGTGTGCGTGTGTGTGTGTGTGTGTGTGTGTGTGTGTGTGTGTGTGTGTGTGTGTGCGTGCGTGCGTGTGTGTGTGCGTGCGTGTGTGCGCCTCAGGTTCACGTTTGTGTCATCATAGATGCCAGTAGAGGGCGCAGCACCACCAGCTCGTCACTCTCACTCAGCGTGTCCCTATCAGGGGGGGGTGCTGCTGTTCGGGGGACTGAGCAGAGAGGGGTGGCCCCTGGGGGACACGGTGCTGCTGAGGCCGACTGAAAGAGGCTTCTGCTGGGAGAAGCTAGACGTTCAACCCCTTCCTGTTCCCAGGTCAGTTGGTGCTCAAGTTTAAAGTTTTCTAAGTAACTGTGATGGTGATCTGTGTGTGTGTGTGTGTGTCAGATACGGTCACCGTGCCCATGTGGTCGGGGAGTGGCTAGTTGTGGTGGGTGGAGTCTGGATGCACGCAGAGGGGGTGCCAGGCGTTGTCGTGATCAGCCTCACCTCCTACAGCAGCTTGGAGATCCGTTTGGACACGGTCAGGTTCTGATTTACTGTGGCTGTCGTGGTTCTGCCGGGTTCATTGACATCTAGTTGTGTTGTAGAGCTCCGTGCCCTGGCCTTTGATGCTGCACTCCTTCTGCTCTGAGCTGATGAACACAGAGGAACCACAGCTGCTCTTGATTGGAGGAGGAGGAAACTGTTTCTCCTTCGGGACTCATCTGAACCCCCAGCCGGTCTCTGTAGACCTCAGACCGGTGCTGGACTCAAAACTCCTCTGGTGTACCCAGGTGTCATAATAAAATGTGTATTCAGAAAGGGTCCGTCTCTGGGCTGTCGTCTCTCTCTCGACCAATCAGAGGGCTGGAAGCATCAACGCTCCGCTTTAGGTCATCAGCAGATGATTTTGATTTAAAACGGTTAAAAATAAGCAGCCGAGAGTTTTAGTTGTTTTTATTGTACAGCTTTTATAAAAGGTGACAAGCAGCCCTCGGCTTGTGGCGCTGCGTCAGGAGCGGGTCTGGAATCCAGACACCAGATTGTCAGGACTGCTGAAGCTCAGAGTCGGGCAGAAGGATAATACTGGCAGACTTTACTGTGTGCTTATGAGACCGGTTCAGTTCAGCAGCGTGCACGCCTCACGCCAACAAACCCTCCACAGCGTCACCCACGCTGACCTGCCTTTACCACCCGTTCATAGTTCAGTTCTGAAAACGGTCGGTGACGAATACGAAAAGGAAAAGTGTCCAACCTCGACATTAACGGGCCAGTTCACACAATAATGTTCTGATGGCAGTTTGTTTCCCAGCGAGTCGTTTTCTATCAGTCATTATAATGTTAACAGTTAAAACGGGGTATCTGCAGGTTTACGGGCGCCAAATGTAAGACTTTTTAAGACCTTTTTTAAGGCCACTTTGACCAAATTTAAGCTATTTTTAAAATTAAATTTAAGCTATAATTTCCAGCTATTGCCTGGAACCGGCGCTAACCACGTCGCGAACGTGAGATTAGCCATCCAGTTACCATTAAACTTGCCCTTCCCCACTAGCTTAACCAGCTAATGTGCTCATCTAAAAATAGCCCCCTTTAACAACCAACTGCATGTGTACGGTTCCGCTTTTGCCAATATCATACACAAAAAACGCTGAACACTTAACTAGAAATTCACGAAAATTTTATAGAAATAAAATCTTGTTTATTGGGTCGTTGGCAGTGTTGGGTAAGGCAAGTTACTTCAAAACTATAATGCATTATTTATTACTTGTTACCCTCATTTTAATTTAGTTGATTACATTACAATATTACTGATTTCAAAATGTAAGGCATTACACTACTTTTGCATTACTTTAAGTTACTTTCACCAAAACAACTTCAATATGAATTAGGTCATGTGACGCTCAGTGAGCTCATGACACATCCAGATTAAGGTGATGTGGTGTCTGAGCTAGGATTGCTGTTAAAAACAGTCAGATATAATAACAGTGCTTTAAAATGATTGTTTATTAAATAAAAGCAACAACAATCTGTACTCTCAGCACGCTGCCATCTTATATTAACTGAGCAGGGAGTGAGGTGGTGGGGGCTCCAAGCCTATATTTGCCTTGGTCCCCAAATGCCTTGATACGGCCCTGGATGTGGGACTGGCTTCTGGGGTGATCTGATTCTATCACATGTATAAATATTAAATGCTTATATATTATTGCTTTTCACTGGTAAAAATGTGTATTGGGGATAAATCTATCTACTTTTTTCTTTTCAAGCACTTTGTTTTGTTTTCTTTATTTTGTTTGAATAATTTCCTGCCCTTTCTCTCTTTCTTTCCTAGATTACCTACTTTCCAACTAATCAGCCAAAGGGATCTACCGAACGCAAAAAAAAAAAAAAGCTTAATATGCGGCAATGAGTTGAAATAACCGGGGCACAGATTATGAACTCAGCTGAGGCAAAGCACGTCAGAAAAGTACACAAAGTACCAGAGAATATGGGCTGATATGACCAATCACAAGTGAATTATTTGGTTTTGGTGGAGCGATTTTGTGGATATAACAGCGGCCGCGCGCAGGACGCAGCTGGAGTATTTGAGCCGTTACCGCTGCGTCCTCTCTGCTCATAGAATGCCCGCAAAGCTGAGTCTATAAATGACGTCATATATGTGGATACTGGACCTTTTCTTGGGCTTCCCGTAATTTTAATTTTTAGGAAAGCCACATCTTGATTCTGGGTTTAAAAATGCATTGTAATTACCGCGTTACTGACAATTGTACCGAGTAAATATTACCATTTTCTTTCCCTGTAATGCCTTACATTACCACATTATAGCAAAAAGCAATGCAGTACAGTAATTAATTACTTTTGTATCACATTACTCCCAACACAGGTCGTTGGTAATTTAAGACCTTTGGAAACTGTATTAAAGGATTGTCATTTTTAAGGATTTTTAAGGCCTTAAATTTGGAAAAGCCAATTTAAGACTTTTTAAGGACCTGCAGATACCCTGTAAAATGGCAGAAGGTGAACATGTTCAGGAACTTGCTGGGTAACTTTTGGGCATTGACACTAGATCTTCCACAGAAACAACAAATGAAGACAAATAATCACCCCAGAGCAACAAATAAACTCATCTGTACCTTCTCCAGTAAACCATGGTTTCTGATGAGTCATCAGCAACCCTCCATCTGGTCCGAGGTTCGTTTTTAATAACCGAACAAACCTCCACGTTATTCTGTGAACAAATCCTTTAGAAATCTGGATATCAAAACACACGTGGAAAATGTTAAACGTCATCATCAAGGCACTGGACATGTTCGTTAGATGTTGGCACGGCGCAGGGCTTGGTGGTGGGGGTGGGAAGGTAGTTTAAATTGAAGTGCTGGAAGTACTGGTACCATCAATAAATAAAGAAGTGAGCTCTTCACCACAGGGCGCCTAAGACCTGCTGCTCTGGGCTGCAGGGTGAGAACGTGCACCACAGAGGAGAAGAAAAAGTGCAGGAAAACATTTCACATCTCATAATCTCCTAAAATACTGCGTTGACCCAACGGCTCCAGACCCCGCCCATCGCCATCACCCCAGTGGGAGGATGTGCGTGGGGCAGAGATGTCCCCGCTGGACCACATGGTGAACCTCTACACTAGTGAACATCTCTGTGACTCACACTCCAGGACCAGTTCCATCAGCTTTTCCAACCGTGTAAAATGTTCCTGTCCGTGTTCCGGTACAGGGTGGTACAACACCAGGAAGTCGGACGTTTGGTGAAACAATGCAAACGTTAAAAAGTCGAAAATTACACGCAGCTTTCTAAATTATCTTCATTTTGTACAAACGGGTAAAAATGGCTTTTAAAAAGGAAACTTGAGCATTAGAGCGGCGATGCTAGTACCAAGGTGGGCCTGGGTATGACCAGTACCAGTACCCATCAGTGAGCCGTCTACAGCCACTGCTCCAGGACAGTACAAGGGGGGGGGGGTCCTTGTTACCCAAACTTGTTTGTTATTTAAAGATTTTTTTTATGTTCTGGAGAATTTATTTATTTGATTTGAATCCTGAATCCCCCAGAGCTCCAGGAGCCACTTCCCACCCGCCTCCACGCAGACGAGCATCCTTTCAGGAGGAAGTTCTGTGCTTGAGGTAATCGACCAGAGTTTGTTGTGGAGGTCAAAAGGTTTCAGAGTCCTCTGAGTCATTTTCAGTGGTTCCTTCGCTGGAGGGTCCTGAGGGGTTCCTGGGGCTGCGTGGCCCACGGGGCTCAGAGGCCACGCCTTTACTGCCCTGGTGGGGCAGCTGCCTCAGCAGGGAGCCTGGGGAGGGAGCTCCGGAGCTGCAAGGGGAGCAGAAAGGCATCATGGTAGCCAGAATGAGAGCCAGACAGTCAGCCACCTCTCTGCTAGGAGCACAAGCCAGAGCAGGGGTCAGTCCTGAGGCAGAGAGACAGAACAAGGCGGGGGAGGGAGAAGACGGGGACACGGAGGACGCAGGGAAGGTGACGCAGAAAACAAAGACGGAGCAGCATTCCATTAGTTTTCAGCCAGCTGACAGTTCAAACACGAGGAGAGACACATCAGGCACAAAGACCAGTCAGGGCTGGAGACAGTCACCAAAATAAAAGTCTGCGCTGAATCGGGACCTGATCCTGTTTTACTGAAGCAGCGAGCGGGTCGAATCCTGAGATAAATATCACCAGCAGCCCTTCCAGTTCATCCAGGGCTCAGGTCTGTTAGTTCATCAGAGCTACAACTCTATTTCTCCAAACAGAGGCTGTTCAGGACGAACGGCAGTGACTATTAAACTTTACACAGAAATTAACTTAAAAGCACGCTTTAGAGGAGTCGGGTGAAGCTTATCGCACTGTTTATCTCCTGGTTAATTAGGCTAACCAGGCTAATTAAGCTAATTTGTCGGCTTCAGTGAACTTTGGGCTTTTTTTTATTTCAAAATGACATCCAGCCCTGAGTTTAATGAACACACAGAAAGTAAACAGTCAGCATGAATAGTGAAGAGCAGCTCCAGCTGTGAGCCTCATAGGTCTCTAGTAGACATAATACAAAAGGCAGAACATTTACATAAAACTCCTGTCCTAAAGCCTAGTTTATGCATCTGGAGCTGCGGTGCAGACGTGCACCACCATGATGCATCTACACAAGACCGGTCTGAAGGGGAAACGCCTCCATCGGTGCATGTGCACGACTCACCCGGATGGAGATGTTTAAACTAGGCTTTAAAGTCTCAACACTGATGCAAGCATAGAGATGCACGTTTCAGTTCAACTCCACGTTGGCTGTGACCAGTGGGAATCGCTTAACGGGCCCACGGCTGATGTCCCAGCACCAGCGCGGCGTTGACGCTGCAGCAGAGAAAGCATTCATGCAGGAGGCAGGCCTGTCCTACCGTTCTCGTCCACCGTCTGAACGCTGGCTCCTCGAGACAGCAGCTCCTGGACGACTTTCTTCAACCCGCTTCGGGCCGCCAGGTGGAGCGGACTGAGGAACAGTGGGTTTTAGATGTTTGTTCTTATCAAATGAAAGCCCTAATGTTCAGATTCAGAAACTCACGTTTGCAGAGCTGCATTAGTGGCGTTTATGAGGGACGCATCGGACAGCTTCTCCAGGATCAGCAACACACACTCTTCTTTTCCCTAAAGCAGGAACAAACTTCAGCTCAGCCACACAATCCGGATACTTCAGTTAAATAAGAGGCCAAAAGGCACTGCCCTGTCACGGCCACCTACATTACTGCAGGCCAGATGTAGAGCCGTGTTGCCATCTTGGTCTGCGAGACTGAGGCTGGCACCGGCGCTGGTCAACAGCACCTCTGGAGCACAAGAACACACTCAGAAACGTACAGCGGGCACAAGAAACAGCCTGCAGCAGATCTACTTCCCACCGTACCGACAGTCTCCGCCCGACCCTTTTCTGCTGCCATCATCAGTGCTGAGCGGCCCGACTGGTCCACCGAGTCCACAGGTGCATCATGGGAAAGGAGCAGGTTGACGCAATCCACATGTCCAGCGAACGCTGCGGCATGAAGAGGCGTCCTGCAAGAACAAAACCTGATAATGCGGTGGAGACCAACAGCTGCAGACTCAAACCGCCAAAGTGACAGTGTCGCACCTGCCCTTGGCGTCCCCACAGCCTGCGATATCTGAGCCCATGGCCTCCAGCAGAAGCGACGCACACGGCTCATGATCATTCAGCCTGACAGGTAAGCACAAACGGAAATTCAGCTATCTGCTGTCAAAAAGACTCGTCTGAGACCCAGAGGGACTTACACGGCGCAGTGCAGAGGGGTGAAGGGATTCCCATCAATACAGCGACAGCCCTTCTGCTCCAACAGGACCTCAACACATCCCTCATGGCCTGCACAGACAAACCATTTTACTGAGACCCAGCGTGCTTCGAGTTCAGTTTGGCTCTTGAATACAAAACTAATCAGTGAAAGCATGTCTGATGGGTTGTGCTGCCACGGACCGTAATAGCAGGCCCAGTGCAGCGGCGTGTATCCACCGTGGTCCCTCAGAGGCGGAAGAGAGGGCGACTCGGAGCAGGCGATGCTCAGGAGCTCGCTAAGCCAGGAGGCGTGGCCTCGTGAAGCAGCCAGGTGGATGGCTGTGCGACCCCGAGAGTCACCGAGCAAAACCGAAGCTTCGTGCTCCAGCAAGCACTGAACGCACTCTTCCTGACCACACAGCAGCTGGTGCAGACACGGCATTCAGATCCAACCAGGTGAGTTCACACACGATCAACAACAACTCAAAACAACCGATTAGGGCCTCACCCCCAGGTGCAGCGCAGTAAGGCCGTGGCTGTTGGCCATGTTGACATGAGCGTCCCGCTCCAGCAGCAGTGACACAGTGTCTAGGTGACCTCCCGCCACGGCCAGCATCAGAGGAGTCCTGCAGAGGATGAAGGCGTAGTTTTATAGCATAAACACAAAGAATCGTTGAGATAAGAAAACAGCAAGGAGAGAAAAAAAAACTCACTGTCCCTGAAAATCTGCAGCATCTATGAGGTCTGAGCTGTCGGACTCCTCCAGCAGGAGACGCACACATGTCGTATGGCCGTTCATCACTGAGCACACAGACAGAAGTGTGTTTATGTGGTTGGATAAATGAAAATGTGACAACTACTTCACATCAGCAAACAGCAGAATAACCACCTACAGGTGTTCACTACACAGTAGTCAGAGGAGGAGTGCGAGTCATGAAGGAAAGCTGTCCTTTTCAGAGGGCTACAGTAAGTTTTTATACACCAGTGTTTAAAGTCATTCAGTCTGAGTGACCCGCTATCTGAATAACACACATTATGACATTAGTTGTTCCAGAAGACATTTCAAGGCATCCTAAAGGTTTTTTGGGTTGGTTGTGGAGCGTGGTTATGCAGACAAACCAGGAAATGGACAAGGGCTTCAAGCTGTGGATCTATCTGGAATTAATTCATGGATAATCCCAGTACATCCTGGAATGTCAGTGGTGCTCCAATATTCTTTCTTTGTTTCCGGTCATCCAACAAGGACATTAGCAGAAGCTTGGATTAGCACTGGCAGTGACGTAGGCTAATGTTAGCAGTAGCTTGGGAAAGCGTTGGCAGCAAGCCCCCACAATGCGGGTGAAAAATTGAGGCAAACCCGGAAATGAAATGAATTGCAGTTCCACCGTCATCCACTAGGGGGCTGGTGTCAGAAGCGAGCAAATCCTCATTGACTCCCATGTTAAAAATACCAATTTCACAGCAGAAATAAACATGTTTACAGCCTGTTACCAAAACATGTTTTTGGTTTAAATGATCTAGTTTACACTCATGACAACTCTGAGGGGGGTGAATTTTTTTCTCACTCTTCTGTTTAAGTGTATTAAAAGCCTAAAATTCTGTATACTTAATGAGCATTAGACCCACGAGACCACAGAGCTAGCTCCGTGGAAAGGCCTCAGTAGAGCCTCGGTCTCGCCTGAAAACTGTTCCAGGATTTTGAGTCTCTGTGATTGTGTATTCTTTTTTGGATATTATTTGTGCAATTGTTGGACAAAATGACTTGCTGTGGCATTAATTGCACTAATAGAGCGTCCAAGGAGTCTCCACTTCATTTTGCATTTAACACAATGCTGCACTTTAGAAAATGGGTTGAAATATAACATGTTGGTGGAGCTGGGTTCCGACTATCGGCTTGTGGAGCTCTCGGGAGACCGATGTTTTCCACCCTTATCCCCCCCCCCCCTTGCATTAGCAATAGCTGGCCAGCATTAGCAGTAGCTGGGGTTAGCATCAGGAGTAGCTTGAGACAGCATTAGCAGTAGCTGGGGTTAGCATCAGGAGTAGCTTGAGACAGCATTAGCAGTAGCTGGGGTTAGCATCAGGAGTAGCTATAGATAGCTTTAGCAGTAGCTCAGGCTAGCATTGTTCTGCAGTTTGCAAGGCCATGACCAGTGTTATAAAGTACTTAAGCTGAAATGAGACATGCAAATGTAAGGAGGTGTGTTTTACATATTACATACTCATGATGAAGTGCTTCTCCCTCTCCTTTACAACAGACTTTTGGTATGCTACATTTGACCACCCTCGATGCCTATATTCTCTATACTGCTTATCTCTTATTTTTATCTTTCTTTTTGCACCAAGTACCGCAGCAATGTCGTAATGTGATCTCTCACACATATGGCAATAAAACCCTTCTGATTTTGATTCTATATTCAACAAGGTAAATGTGGATTCAAATTCTAGGACCGCTTCAAAACGTCAAGTCTCTGTGCCCACCTGCCAGATGCACAGGCGTGCGTCCATACTGCTTATCGGTGGAGTGTGGTGACGCCCCCTGGCTGAGGAGTGTGTGAACGCAGTCAGTGTGGCCCCGTAAGGCTGCCAAGGCCAGAGGGGTCCTCCCGGCCTCATCCCCCTGATCCACCTCTCTCTGACCCTGCAAGAGCACCTCCAGAGCCTGAGCATCACCGTGGTACGCCTGAGGAGAAACAAGCAAGTGTGTAACCGACCCCTAACAGACGAATAAATCCAGAATGAGGTCACATTCGTCTGCATGTTTGGACTCACAGCGAGATGCAGCGGGCTCCTGGATTTAGGAGATTCAGAATCGTCATGGTGACAATCCTCTCTGTTTAAGAGCTGCAGGTCACAACAAAACCAACAAGACAGGGATGATAGGGATGAGACAAGGATCAGATGGGGATTTTCTACATCACATGTTTTTGCCCCACTGCAAAACTTTAGGAATAGAACATAGCAACACATTCTTTAGGTGTTTATTATCTTTTATGTTGTTTTCTCTCTCTATTTATGTCATTTCTACATTCATCTGCATAAAACATTGCATGTTCAGGAAGTACATTGATAATAAACAATGTAATGAATGTATTTAAAAGTAGCCTCATCGCTCTCATTTCAGATCATTTACTCAATGTCAAGTTTATTTATATAGAACATTTCCAACGATGAAATCAGTTAAAAGCAAGGGTAAAAAGGTAGGTTTTTAAAAGCGACTTAAAGGCAGAAAGACTGTTAGCAGACCTAATCTGTAGGGGAAGGCTGTTCCAGAGCTTGGGAGCGGCCACAGAAAAAGCTCTGTTGCCTTTGGACTTCAGCCTAGACTTGGGAACAGATAATAGATGTAGAGAGGATGATCGGAGGTTTCGTTTGGGGACATGAGTGTTTAAGAGTTCGGACAGATATGGAGGGGCCAAATTGTGTTGTGCCTTAAAACAGATCAGTAGCATTTTAAATTGAATCCTGTAAGTGATCGGGAGCCAGTGAAGAGCTTGTAAGACCGGCGTTATGTGATCACTGCGCCTCCTACCTGTCAGCAAGTGAGCTGCCGCATTCTGAGCCAGCTGCAAGCGGTGAACTGATGACTGCTCCAGTCCATGGTAAAGAGAGTTGCAGTAGTCGAGTCTCGACATGATTAGCAGGTGTACTCAGGGTCCCCAAAAATGACAATTTCCATCTTTTTGTCATTTAAATTGAGAATGTTCAGTTGTAGCCAGTTTTTAACATCTTTTAGACAATTCAGTAATTTGTCAAATGATGAACGATGGCCTTCGAGAATGTAGTGGGATATATATCTGCACATCGTCCGCAAAGAAGTGATACGAGATGTCATGCTTATGAAAGATGGCGCCAAGAGGCAACGTATACAGCGAGAACAAGAGCGGGCCCAAAACTGAACCTTGAGGGATACCACAACTAAGTTTCGCTGGAGACGAACAGCACTGCCCCATATTTACAGTAAAGGTCCTGTCTGACAGGTAGGACTTAAACCACGGCAACACTGAGCCCCGGATGCCAACGTCATGCTCTAGGCGTGATAAAAGGATCTGATGGTCCACTCAGTATGTGGCTGTGATTGGTGATGTGCGTTCCCGCGACAGGGCAAGCACGTCTAGGCTGGTGATGTCATCCTACTGCAGCTATGCATCATTCAAGAGAATAAAAACTTACACACTTAATACAAGCTCGATCTTCACATGCGGTGTGTGTGTGTGTGTGTGTGTGTGTGTTAGGGAGCTAACCAGTTCCAGACAGTGCCTGTGCCCAAAGGCAGCAGCGTAGTGGACCGGACTGTAGCCCTGCTTGTCCTTCAGCGAGGCCGTCGCTCCGCTCTGAAGCAGGAACTCTAAACATCTGCAATGCAAACAAAACTCTGACTGACATGACCGCCATGCAGGTGAGGCCAGATGTGGTGGCACGCTCAACTGGAGCAGTTCTGCAGATTTTAAGTGAATCTGGTGTTTTCCAGAGTCCGCGGGCTGCTTGTACTGTTCCAAGGACCACACTGCATCAGCGGTTATACTAGGTCTGTGAGGGTCTGACCCAAACGTTCCCTGTTTATTTTGATGAACTTACAGCGCTGCCTCCTTCTCCCTCTCAGCCTGGACTCCTTCACTTTCTGGCTCCAGAGCAACGCGACGCCTGTTGGAATGAAGAAGAGGAGGGTTTAAAAGTGGAGCAGTGCAGCTGCACAGATATTATGTCTCCAGTTCACCAGAATCACCCCTCGGTCCAAACACCTGTTCAGTCTGGTGACCTGCCAGGGTCATGTGTATTGGCTCTGTATGCATAGCTAAAGAGGAAAGGCCCAACAGCTCCGGTCTCACCTCCTGTCCAGGTCTGAGGCTGCAGCGTAGTGCAGGGCAGAGCGCCCCCACTGGTCAGTTGCATTGATATCAGTGCCACAAGCCACCAGAGTCTCCAGACACTGGTAGTGACGGCTGGCAGCAGCATAATGGAGAGGAGTCCTGAAGCAGAGGCCGGGATAATCAGCATAAATAATAAACCCTACAGGTTCTTAGCAGACTCGAGTCTTTACCTGCCACACTTGTCTGCCTTGTTGTGTTCTCCTCCACTACTCAGGAGCAGTTTGACACAGTCCACATTGCTGCACAGGGACAAGAGGAGGAGACATGAGCAGGGTAATTATTACAATAGTGTTTGTGAAATCCTCTGAGCTACACCTGCTAAACTCAGAGTGGGCATGTCTCAGGCTCATGAATCGTGTAGGACAACGTCCTCGTGGGCTGCAGGTTAATGTGTATTGTCACCTCTGACATGTCATGTATAACGTAAGAGTGGGACAAACCCTCCAGCAGCCGCAGCGTGCAGGCACGTCCTCCCGAGGCTGTCTGGGGTGTCTATCTGGAAGCCTGCGGACAGGACCGAGTCGTTACACATTATGCTAAACCTCCGACCTGAAGAGGGCAGCACAGGGAGATGGAGGGAGGCCAGACAAGACACAGCAACAGCCACCACGGAGGGAAGTGTGGAGAGAAAGACAGGTTTTAGTGCGACAGGTGAGGGGAAACGAGGGTCAGATCAAACACAAACGGATAAAAGCTGCCGACACAGAAAGCCAGGTACGTTGCTATAGAGACAGGAGTCAAACAGGCTGCTAAACCTTTTAAGTTTAAACTAAGACCATCTCATGCATAAAGACAGCAGCTAGAACAGCTTGTGTTGTGAAGTCTTCCCGTTACGGACTGGTGCTGGGTTACCTGAGGACAGAAGCTTCCTGCAGCAGTCAGAATGAGCATTCAAGGCAGCCAGATGGAGAGGAAACATGCCATGGATTCCTCGTCTTTAGAGAAAAATGTAGAAGTTTAGCCTCTGGTTAAATGTTGCATCTGTCACGAGTAATCAGGTGAAGGCCACACCTTGTGCAGTCTGCTCCACTTGTGATGAGCGTGTTGATGAGGAGCTCGTGGCCGTAGCGGGCAGCAACGTGGAGAGGAGTGTTGCCATCTTTATCCATGCTGTCGATCTCTCCACCTGAAACAAAACGTGAACGCATGAAGACGGCACGTAGCGTTAAAAGACCAGGAGACAGCAGCAGCACAGGAGACCCACCGTTCTGGATGAGGGTCTGCGAGCGGGTAAAGCGCCCGTGAACGGCCGTCATGTGGAGAGGGCTCTTCCCATCTCGACTCTGACAGACGCAGAGTCAAAAAGATGATCAGGATTTGGGTCTAAATCAGACCTCAGGTCAGTTTTTAGTCACCTCCCTGAACTGTCAACACTCCTGTACCTGAACGTTGACGTCTGCCCCGTTGTTGACCAGGAACTCCAGACAGAGGGCTCCGTGGGTGGAGGCAGCAGCAAAGTGCAGCGGTGTGAAGCCTTTGTTGTTGGACTGGCTGACGTTGGCGCCATAGTCGATGAGTTCACTGACGACGGCGTCCTGACCGTTGAAACAGGCCACGTGGAGCGCCGTGTTCCCAAACGCGTTGGGCTCGTCGATCTGTCACCATGGAGAGTGATGCATGACAGTGGGAGAATGTGTGTGTCAGAGCTGTGTGTGTGACTCAACGTTGGATTAAGATCCCCTGGGTAGAGATTTCCAACTAGATACCGCCACAAAAACTCACACTCCACTTGTATTTCTATACTTGTGGGGACCCTTTGGTGACTTCTACTAATTTTAGTGACTGCCCTAACCCTAACCCCAACCACACGGTCATTCACACCAAACTTCTGAAACCAATATTAGAGCTTTTTGCACAGTGGGGACCAGGACTGTCATCACGATGTGGAAATGTTCATGTTAAGTCAAAAATGTATTACCCCTCTATGTACTACACACACCCACACCCACACCCACACACACATACACACACACACGGACACAGGAGAGTCTGTACATCAGATTTGTCTTGCTCGGCTGCTGCGCATCTCCCTGGCCTGTGACTTTTCATAATGTCTCTTATCACCTATATGCAGATGACATTCAGCTGTACTGCTCCTTTAAGGATTCTGAGTTCTATAAACTGTCTGAATTACTGGAGTGTCTATCAGCGATCACCAGCTGGCTAGAAGAAAACTTCCTTCAGTTAAACTCTGAAAAGACTGAATGTCTGATCATTGCCCCTGAGAGCACGGTTCCCCTGATTAGTCTAAAACTTAATAATAATAATACATTTTATTTCAACAGCACCTTTCTCAACACTCAAGGACACTTTACAGACAGAGATAAAATACACAACAATAAAAGATAGAACAGCATAAAACAAACAGACGGATTGGAGCAAAGAGAGTAACTATTGGAATGCTAGACGGAACAGGTGGGTTTTGAGTCTGGTTTTGCTGTGTGTCTTTGAATGTCTCCGTGTGTCTTATATGTCTCATGTCTTTGTGTGTCTCTGTGTGTCTCTGTGTGTCTTTGTGTGTCTCCCTGTGTCTTTGTGTGTCTATGTGTCTCCCTGTGTCTTTGTGTGTCTCCCTGTGTCTCCGTGTGTCTCTGTGTGTCTCCGTGTGTCTCCGTGTGTCTCCGTGTGTCTCCCTGTGTCTCTGTGTGTCTCCCTGTGTCTTTGTGTGTCTCCCTGTGTCTCCGTGTGTCTTTGTGTGTCTCTGTGTGTCTTTGTGTGTCTCCCTGTGTCTCCGTGTGTCTTTGTGTCTCTCTGTGTGTCTTTGAATGTCTCCATGTGTCTTATATGTCTCATGTCTTTGTGCGTCTTCCTGTGTCCCGTGTCTCTGTGTGTCTTTGTGTGCCTTTGTGTGTCTTTGTGTGCCTCTGTGTGCCTCTGTGTGCCTCTGTGTGTCTCTGTGTGTCTCCCTGTGTCTTTGTGTGTCTTTGTGTGTCTTTGTGTGTCTCCCTGTGTCTTTGTGTGTCTCCATATGCCTTCCTGTGTCTCCTCACCTCCACAGCCAGGTTGAGGAGATGCTTGACCACGGTGATCTCCCCCCTGGCGGCTGCGGCGTGGAGCGGTGTGTATCCTCGTTTGTCCTTACAGCTGACCTCGGCGCCCTGACTCAACAGCAGACACACCACATCCAAGTGTCCTGCAGGGGGCAGCAGCACACCAACAGTCACGAAGATCTTAGCACAACACCAGTGTGAACGACCCTCACATAGCTGTGCTGTAGTCTACCCGGGCTTCGCAGCAAGCATGCACTGTGGGTTGTAATCTGTGATAATCTCTGTTGTTGTTTTGTGTCTCACCCATGAAAGAAGCCCAGTGCAGCGCCCGGCCGTCCTTCTTATCAAAGGCATTGATATTTGCTCCTTTAGCGAGCAGAAGGCTCACCATCTGACAGACACAAGAGGAGGAGGAATTAGAGGAGTTATGGGGGTGTCTCCTGTGTCAGCAGCAGGACCGGTGAGTGGGACGGCCTTTATGCAACGGAACGTTAAACCCAGCTCAGCTCTTGTTGCATAAAGAGTGTGGAGCACAGAGTCGGAGAGCTGCCCATTCATCTGTTGCTCTTTATGATAATTTTAGATCTGGCACTGTTGTGAATGATTGTGTCAGCTTCAAACTGCACAGCCCACTAACAGCTGCGCCTGCCCACCCGTTTCCTCCCGTTACATCACCCAGCAGAACCCGTCCTGTCTGCAGTACCTCAGTGTGGCCGTTGAGAGCAGCGTGGTGCAGGGCCGTGCGTCCACCGCGGTCCGACACGTTCACGCTGCTTAGCAGAGGAATGATGACCTCAGCGCATCGGATTGCGTTATTTGCTGCAGCCACATGCAGCGGCGTCTGCCAGTTCTTGTCCCGGGCATTCACATCCGCTGAGTGGCGGATCAAAACCCGCACAGCATCCTGGGAAAGAAGGTCAGAAAGCACCTTTAGGAGGGCGCCCAGCAAGGCTGTGTGCCGCCTGCAGGAGCCGCTGCTAAAGACTAGAAGCTTTAGTGTTTAATACTCAAGGAATAAAGAACGGAAGTCTCAGTGGGATTACCTCGCTCCGGGACGCCACGGCGCGGTGCAGAGGGGTGAGCCACATGTTGTCTTTGGCATTGACCCGGGCTCCTGCAGCGTGGAGACAGCAGCGTGGACGTGTGTGTGATACAAGCTACTAAACCAGACTGTTCACCAGCAAACAGCACAGATCATACACTCAGAAAACCTCAACACTGAGCAGATATACAGTTAAAATGATCTCCACGAGGATGAACTTCTTATTAGTTTTGTGATTTATTCACATCCAGAGTCTCCATCTTGGCTCTGCTTGTGAAGAAAACAGATTATTTTACCGGAGAGGATGAGGAGTTCGGTGATCTCTGCGTCTCCCAGGAAGGCTGCTGCATGCAGCGGGGTGCGCTTCTCTGCATCCTGCAGGAGAAAGAACCAAACATCTGTCCCATCAGCAGGAATGATCTCAGACCAGAACCAGAGCTGTTGTTCTTCTGGACTTTAGACTGAACCAGCTGTTGCGTTTCTTCCTAAAGCAGTTGTGCACCTCTTTGGTTTGTTTGAGTTTCACTAATGCTAGACTGCTCTCCATCCTCATCCTCCTCGACTTGAGTTCGGCCTTCGATACCATCTCTCACACCATCCTCCTCCATAGATTGTCTTCCCTTGGCATTTCTCATACCCCGCTTGATTGGTTCCGTTCATATCTCTCTGGCCGTACTCAGTTTATTCAACTCAAATCCTTCACTTCCCATCCTTCCCCTGTCACTACCGGCATCCCCCAAGGCTCTGTTCTCGGTCCACTCCTTTTCATCACTTACCTTCTTCCCCTGGGAAATATTTTCCGTAAATCTGACATCCATTTTCATTGTTACGCGGATGACACACAGCTCTATGTATCCTCCAAACCCTCCTCTTCACTCCCTCCTTCCTCCCTCACCAATTGTTTACCTGAAATCAAAGACTGGTTCACATCAAACTTCCTCAAACTTAACAGTGATAAAACAGAAATGTTACTTGTCGGCACTAAATCCTTACTATCCAAAATCCACAGCTTTACACTTCCTGTCGACAACTCCTTAGTTTCCCCCTCCCCTCTGGTCAAGAGTCTGGGTGTCATCCTCGACTCCTCACTATCCTTCCAGTCCCACATAAACAATATCACCC